CCCTAATTTTCGGAAACTTCCATATGTTGGTTGAAATAGTTCAAGGTAAGGTGCTTTGAAGAAGACAAGAACAGATTATAGGAGTTAGGGTGGGGGGCATGACACCTTGTGTATTTTGTGACAACGGTTGGTTTGGGGGCTTTGAGTCGCAAGTCTATGTCCAAGCGTCGAGCAGACCCAAGCCCTCAAACCCCAACATAGAGAAACAGACGTTTTCAGATAAAGGCACGCACAGCAACGAAACTCCAGATACAGCCATCGACTCACAAGCAAACCCTAAGCCCCTGAACACCCTAAACCCCTAAGTCCAAAGCCCTTTCGGGGTCAGGGGTGCTGTCCGGATTATGGTCACAGGGGGTCTTGCGGAAGTAGGGCGTGCGGCTTCAGAGGTCCTGGCTGGAAGTACTTATATTCGCAGCTCCTAGAAGACCACCGTTAACATTGCCCGAAACTTCATGGAATTTCGTGGACACGCATACATGGAAGCACAGATGATCTTAGACTCCCGAATGTGCCGAGCTGTGCACACGATATACAAGGGTACACTACACAGTGACCAGGCGACCGGCCCGAAACGAACTCTGAGTTAATGTTACATGTACTAGTAGCAAATCTGAAAGTTGGAGTTGCAACCTCGAGACCTGCGAAGCCTACCTTGAGCAACGATGTTGTAGTGCCTACTGGCAGCAGGACGTCTGCCCGTGCAACGGACCAATGAAGTCCCCCTGACCCTGCCCCTTCCGAAGGGACGGCTTAGGGTTTAGGGTTTAGGGAGGTTCAATAGTTGGTTGCAGCGCGCAACCACTCGCTCGACGATCAGTCATTCATGGGAAGGATGTTACCGATGTCGAACACAGGGAGAGCCCTCGTGCACGAGGCGATTGCGGAGTTTGTGGGAAGACTGGTGGACGAGCTCAGAGTCAGTATTAGATATTATTGTTATCACGCGCTGTTACTGTCATTATCATGAGTGCTATCTTTCTTCTTCTTAGTATTACTGGTATCAGTTATTGGTACAAATACTAGTATATGATTTAGCAAGGACAAAGGGCAAGGCCAACCCCGGCAGAGGTGCATGCCTGCCCGGAGAAGAAGATATGATTTAGTGTAATATTTATCTATTGTTATCATTACCCTAACCGCCCCAGGTGCATACTATATAGGGTACTAGAG